ATGTCAAACTGAAAAAAAAAATTAAATAGGTAAAAATAGTTTTATCCACCTCATAATTGAGGGCAGAATGATTTCAGAATAGTCATTTTACACCCGTTACCATAAGATGGGAATTAATTTTATTTGCCATTGAAGACCCCATAACGTCCATATTTTTCATCATAGTATAACTCAATGACGATTCAATAAATATTCGGCCCCGTGCTACTTTATTATATTTGTAATTTGTTCATGTTTTCCCCAATTTATTTCATCTAGATGTACATCCAATATGGGCCCTACTCTGAAAATTTCAAATTTTATGCTTCTACCCCCTTAGGAACAAAAATGCCAAATAAGGGCCAAAAAATGAAAAAAGTGGCCAAGACACCAAAAATAGCTTAAATCATACGATGGTTATACAAATATGAAATCGGGTTGTACCCTTATCCGTGAGTTATGATCGATATCATGACCTGCAAAAGCGATTTGGGAAGAATTTTCTGGAAGGATAGAAATTCTTTTCTTACTAAAAGTCCCATACGCTCAACTATTTTGCACCCTTTATATTTGGTATTTTACTGATTGTACTCCCAAAGAATTTTGCATTTTTGAGCTCTCATGGACGGATTATTGTCACATGAAAGAAGTAGGTCCACGCTTTGAAATGAGACCCATTAGGCTTTTTCGGTCATTTTTGTTTGTTTAAAATTTATTGCGCTAGCGTCATCTGGAGGCAGCTAGTGGCTTTTAGTGTATCAAACAAATATGTCACCCTATGTTGTTTGTCCGGAATCCAAATCAAAGATAAAACTTTAGATGGGACAATTGCTTGTTGCTATGTTTCGCTAGATGACGTTAGTTGTATGAAAAAATGTTATCGCGAAATATCATATTACAATAAAATGTAAATGTGCGATTTAAATATTTCAACATTTTGATACGTCCGTATAAATCATGTCTTCGGTAAACCAGTCTTAAAGAATAGAATTTGTGATTTCGCCTGTGTAATGACAATTTTGGTATTTTTGACACAAAAATTGTGACCTATTTTACCCGCTAAATAACACCCGATGGCCATTCAAAACGCTAGGCTTCTGCCCCGTCCTAAACTCAAACTCTTTGAACAATTCCGTGTCAATTGAACTTTAATTGTGACCTATTATATCATTATTATAGACTTCATCCTTTTCTGCGAAGTGACAATTTTTATCTGGTGAGAATTGTAAAAATCAATTCAGCCGTTTTTGAATTATGAACGGTCTAACTGGCATTCCCTACTTTGGTATATATAGATTTTTGTATTTATTTTGCTACATATATACCTTGGCTATTAGCATCAATGTAAAAGTCAGATGTGAAATAGAAATATTTGCGGATTAATGGAAATGTTCGTTTTTTTTATATAAAAGTTATGGAGAAAGGGATATTAGAACATATAAAGAAGCGCTATGATGAAACTTGGACCAATATAGGCAATATTCTGTCAGAGAAATAACTACTTATTACAAATTTCAAAAATCGAATTTCAAACAATTGCGTTGAAATAATTGGCTCAACTCATCAATATGACGGATATTGGGGGTACCGTTATACGATATAGTGGGCCGATATAGACCATCTTTGAACTTGACCTATCTGCAGACCAAAGGCTGTTCTATGCCAAATTTTAATTTCCGATCAGTCGTTTAGGATCTAGACTCATTACAACATAGGGAAAAAGAGATAAGTAAAATATTAAGCTGATGAAGAGAATTATACTAGATACTAAGATGCGTAAATATCAATGAAGATTTTTTCATCATCTCTGATTTGTATATACATAATGGATTTAAAATGTTTACCTATCGACAATGAGATTTTGTCAAGGGTATAACTTTGAAAAAATTGTAAACAATTGATTGCACAAGTTGATCTTCTTCTTCATATAGAAAACTGATACAAAATATGAACTGATGTAAAATAAATGTCTCAATTGCCGCCAATTCCAAAAAAATATCTCAGATTAGGAGGAAAATTCCCAATACTGACAACATTGCCTAAATATCCAATAAAAAGACAAATTAAAAGAAGATAAGTTCGGCAAGGCCGAACCTTTAATGCCCTCCACCATTTAGAAAGAATTTGCAGATGGTAAAGAAATCCGTTGAATAATGTCGTTAAAATCTTAAGAAGTCCGAATATCAGGTGTTATTTGGGGGTACGTAAAAACGATCCTACAGCAAATTATCTACAAGCGAGGGCGGTGCTTATTGCGAACTCCAAATACAAACTTTGAAACAAGAATTTGGAAAAATATGAAAAAATCATCAACATGCCGAATATGGGGCTATACAAGCAATTTTCTGTCATAGGAGAAAGTATCCATTTCGAACACCAAATTTGAAATATTTTCGGTAAAATCAACAAAATACCGTTATATGGGGGTTATACGAAGAGGTGGATCTATATAAGCAATGTTCTGTCAGTGAAGGACATTGATACAATTCCGGTGAAAAATTTTACACAAATTCCAAAAATCCCAAATAATGGGGATTATACCTAAACTGTCCTTGGCAAAGCCGTTTTTATACCCTACAACACTATGTGTTGGGGGTATTATAAGTTTGATTGGGCCAAAAATTATGTAACACCTCGAAATATTGGTTTCCCACATAGGAAAGTATATATGGATCTTCCTAGCTCGCCGATCTGAGTAGATCTAGCTATGTATGTCCGTCCGTCTGTCCATGTTAATTTTTTAATCACTCTACAGGTCGCAATTATGGCCCGATCTTCGCGAAATTTAGAATGGAGGTGGAGTTAAGGTCAGAATAGAACCCTATTTCTTTTGGAGATGATCGCATAATATTTAGGGGTCGAAATGGACCAAAAACTGAAAAATTCCTTGATTTTGCAGTTGCTCTACAGGTCGCAATTATGGACCAATCGACGTGGAAATTGGCATGGGGCTAGAGCTTCGAGCTTCATCGGGTAATATTTAGTGGGCGAAAAAGACTATACATTTGTGTTAAATAAAAGTCAAATTTCCATTAAACCACGAATATTTTTAGTCCCGGCGAAATCATAAATAGACGAACAGGTCAATTCTGACCGTTACGTAGATGCCGATAGTAAATATATCGGATATATATATAGCGAAATATATACAATGTATATATACAAAGGAAGGGGATGTTAGATAGAATGCTTATATCTCAAGAATGACTAGACCTATTTTGACAAATTTTGTCAATTCAGAATGCCTTCTTGACATAAAAGTATAAAATCTAAAAAAATCGCATAAAAATAAGTCAAAAATGATGTTAATATAGATTTTGTAGTATTTTGTGACATTTTTTTATTTTTTCATATTTATTATCGCATTCGATTTTTTCAATTTGACTAATAATATTAAGGTATACATTTTGTAATATTTTTCCACCTTACAACACAGGTTTGGGATATTATACACAGATTGCAATTATCGTCCGATCCTCACGAAATGGGCAAGGTTAGGCTCAGAAGGGCTAGGCCTATTGTTTTGAAAGATGTCCGCAATATATTTAGGGGTTAAAATGGACCAACAACTAAAATGTTCCTGATTTTGCAGCCGTTATAAAGGTCACAAATAGAAACTAATGGACACGAAACCTCGAATGAAGTTAGAGTTTAGGACAGCGGGTAGAATGAACCACTACGAATCACTGACGAATATAGCCAAATATCCTAGACAAGCAAATCATATAGATGAGTCTAAATTTAGAAATACAGGGGAACCTCTTGCTTTTGGAAATGATCGCACAATATTCAAAAACAGGGAAAATTTCCAGATCACACAATTGAAGCCAATCGACACGCCTGAGAAGAAAGTTAGGGACAGGGAAGAAGTCTAGCATTATGTATGGCCATTGGATTATATTTAGCTGTAAAATGGACCACTACAACTAACAGCACGACGAAGATCGTAAATATTGGTTAAATGTGCCTGGTCAAAATGCTAGTAATATCTGGGCAGTGCTCCGTGACATAATTTCAAAAGCGAAATCTTCCAAAATGGATTTGGACATAAGCGGGCTTCTTACATATTGTAGTGTTGTAGGGTATCACATGGTCGGCCCGCACGACTATAGCCGTTGCTTACTTGTTACATATAGGCTACACACAAAGCCAATTTACAGCAGATTCTGTTCAAAAGTATGACTTAAACAGCCGAAACACCTTAAATCTGGCGGGACATTTATATGGGGGCTATATGAAAATGTGGACCTACATGGCACATGTTCAATACCAAATTTTACAGACTTGAATCCATCTGATAATTTTTCGATATCATTTCGTTGGGAGGCTAGAGTGATTTCCACAACCGGACGGACATGTCCAAATCGACATAGAATCTTATGCTGATCGAGAATATATATACTTTGTGGGGTCTAAAATGCTGATTTCGAAGAGTTAGAAACGGAATGACAAACTTAATATAACCTCCATAATATGAGGAAGGGTATAAAAAGAGCGAAATGTCAGAGAAATGTTCACGTGATACCACAGACCGCTGGTGTACACAATAATTCACTGGTGTCGCTGCCCAAAAAAGAGATAATTTAACAAAAAACAAAAATTCTATTTTTCATTATATTTAACGTTATCCGTCGTCTATATATTCAATAGTCTACGATGATAATGATTTTAGGAAAAAAATGTTAACGAAAGTTTTTTAAATCTGATCTGCAACAGACAATTGTCTCCATGGTTTTCTCTAATTGTTTTCATACCTTCCGATATTTTGTATTTTAAATATTTCAGCTAACGAAACAAGCTAACAAAAATGTCACCCTGTAGGTTCTTCTCTAAACTCGATTTGCATAACCAAGCAACTAGTTCCGCCGCTCATTTTATGAATGCTTCCAGCTGATTGCGTTTTCCTCATGTCTCATTCGTAAACAACAGTGGTACCCGGCGTTATGCATTACACTCATTCGTAAACAAAAGAGGTACTCGGGGATTTTGCTTTGTCTTTATTTTTCTTCGTTCATTCCGTTTTGCCTGCTTATTTATTCGTTGTTGGCAATGTGTAAGAACTCAACACTTACATACACCCGACCACATTCAATACATTCAATTTAAATAAAATATAATAATAATGCTCAAGAAAAAGTTACAATATAAAATTACAGCGAATCCCACACCAAATAACAGTCACAATGTTGTGGATGCCAATAGCAATGAGCGGAATTTACCGCTAAAAGTATCGCCATTCTTTGTCCCATCGTACTGGGAACTATTTTATGCCCTGGAGTGTCAGTTGAACGGCTATTTGAGATTGCTAAAAGCTCCGGTTGAACTTACACACATATACAATCCTGTCGAGTATGCTGCCCAAATACATTGTGACTATTTAAAACGTTACCTAAAGGGGCCCATGAAGGTTTTGTTTATCGGCATGAATCCTGGAGGCGATGGAATGGCACAAAATGGGGTATGTAAATACAATAAATACATCTAAATTTTCAAATCTGTGTTGACATTAAATTGTTTAAATTGTAGATACCATTTGGCAATATTTCCACAGTGCGCGACTCCATGCAATTGCAAGGTGTCATTGTGGATCCACCACAACAACATCCGAAACGGCCCATACAAGGATTTGAATGTACTCGCGAAGAACCCAGCGGTAAACGTTTATGGACTCTATTTCAAAAGCTTGCCAATAATTCGTTGGAAACCTTTTTTCAACAATGTTTTGTACACAACTTTTGTCCATTGGCCTTCTTTGATGCACAGGGTCGAAATATAACACCCAGTGAAATTAAGGGACCCTATAAAAAAGAACTCCAGGATACATGTTTGCGTGCTATGGAGCAACAATTACACATCTTGCAACCTGATTTTATTATAGCTGTAGGTGATTATGTCTTTAAGGCTCTACGAAATTCAGAGTATTGCAGGGGAAAACGTCTACTGCGCTTAGACCATCCTAGTCCTCGTTCTTTGAACAACACAAATTGGCCAGAAAAGGCGGAAACGTTTCTACGGGAGAATGATTTATTGAAATATTTACGTAATGAGGTGGCTGCTGGCCACATGTAATTTTTTCAATCTTTAATGACTCAAATGAATTCCTGTTTTTTATGTTTATTGAGCTGTGCTCACCTGAAATTGATCTCTTAATTTAAAAATGTTAAAAAGTATTATTTTTAAATTTTATATGTCTTTTTATACCACTTCTTTAATAAATATTTTTTTATACAAAATCGTTGTTTATATTTTACAAGTTAAATAGTATCAGTCGGTTTTGCATCTGACTTAAGACTGATATAAATATTACAACGTGCCATATTTGGACTATATCGTCTACGTCCCATACTTTATATGTGATATGTGTACATTTTTGAAAAATGTAGAAATATATGTGAGGTACAAGATAAAGCGGACCGAAATATTCCACTTCATCTAATACAGATAAAAATATTCATACGTGCAAAATTTAAAGGAAATCGAACATTTATACCGAATTTTATACGAAATTATAAATTCCGACTATTTACATATCGATATAAGATTTCTGGCTAAGGGAAATGTTTAGATATAGCAAGTTGTATAGAATCGCCTACTTGTTTCGCAGGTTAAAAATTCGAAATTGGGTTGTTGAGGTACCAGAACGGGTGGGCAGACATTTTTCATCTTTACAACAGATTATGCCTTAGCAAAAATTATTGAATGTGTGAAATTTAAAGACAGTTGGATGCTTATTTCGTTTTTCAAAATTTTGAACCCTTTGCGGAGAAGTTCCAGAAGGAGTGCACCGATATATCCAATTTCACATCAGATCTTGTGTTAGTAAAAATAATGGCATGTGGGAAATTTGAAGAGACAGAATGCTTATTTCGGATTATATGATCGTTTTTGGTTATTCAAAATTTTGACCCTCTGTCTGGGAGGTACAAGAAGAAATGATCCGATCCCTACCATCTTTATAACAAATCTTGAGTTGATAGAAATTGAGATTGGCCTGGTCTTAATGGAATCGGATGTTAATTTCGAGTTTAAGGTGCTTCTTGGATACTCAAAATGTTGACCACTTGTGGGGTAGGTACCAGATGGAGTGGACCGATATATCACATCTTCACAGCAAATCTTGTGTTAGTAGATGTTATTTCGGATTTAATAATCGTTTCGGTTATTCGAAACTTTGGCCCTTTGTGGGGGAGCTACCAGAAGAAACAGTCCGATCTTTACCATATTTAAAATCTTGTGTTAATAGAAATATCGAGATGTCTGAGAGAAGTCTGAATGGAATCGGATGTTATTTTCGCGTTTTACGAGCTTTATAGATATTCTAAATTTTGCCCTATTGTGGGGGAGGTACCAGAAGGAGTGGACCTATATATTCCATCTTCACACCAGACCTTGGGTCAATAACACCAGCCAGCCAGCCATACAAACAGACGGACGGACGGACGGACATCGTTAGATCGACTCCAAATGTCCTGAAACGGATTTGGTCCAAAGAGACCTATGGTCTAAAACCGTTATTTCGATGAGGCACGTTTTGGCCGTATCACATAATGTCAAATGATATATACCCTCTCTAGCCATATGGTGAGGGTATACACATTTTCTAAAATTTATCCAGATCTTAACGGAGTCTCGTAATAGCCTTTTAACAATTTTAATATATTTTACAATTTGAATCCATATTCGATATCGAATAAATTTTGATTGCAAAGAACTTGAATGTGTGAAATTTGGCTAGATTAAGTTGACAATTTCGACAGAACAATAAGTAAATATATTTCGGACATTTTAACAATCCAACAAAGCTTCCCGTTTTCAAACTATGAGATTACTAAACAATTTTGACAGCCGTAACTCCTTACAAATCAAACTACCAACAAACGAAAACTAAATCTTCTATAAAACTAAATTTTAACAAAAAATTACAAGAAAGTTAATTACCAGTCAATTTGCCAGAAATAAACCCTCAGAACTTAAATATATGTATGTACGCTCTTTTGGTACGTACCATAAATATTGAATCCATCTTTGCACTAAATCTAATAACACAAATATTGCAATGTACAATCTGTGAATAGAACCGAGGAATATTTTTAAGAGTTAAAAGAAAGGTATAAAAAGGTATGTGCTGATCTATATCATCTACCAAACCTTGTATTGGCAGAAATATTGGGATTTACCTTGTATAAAAGGAATCAGATGCTCATTTTGCATTTTTTGTGGTTATTCAAAATCATGACCAGTTATGGGGGATGTACGAAAAGAAGTGGCCCGATCTATCCCATTTCCTAAAAGATCTAGAGTGGGTGGGTTATTATTATTGAAATGTTTGATTTTTGTGGGGAGTAACAAGAAGGAGAGGCCCCATTTTCACACTAGATCTTGCCTTGACACAATTATTAAATATGGGGATGCGTTAGGTTTGAAAAGAATTCCCATATGCCTATACTGCATTTCATAAGCGTTTTGATTAATCAAAAAATTGACACATGTGTGGAGGAGGTACCAGAAGGAGCGGGCCGATTTATTTCACCTTAACAGCAAATCTAGCATTAGTACAAATATTGGAATATGCAATATTTAAGGTGAATTTGATGCTTATGCCGCAGTTTACGAGCGTTTTTTTGTTTTGTGAAAATGTTGACTCTTTGTGGGACGGACGGACAACACTAGATCGACTCCAAATGTCCTGAAACTAATTTCGTTCAAAGAGACATAGGGTATTAAACTGTTATTTCGATGACGATAATGCATGTTTTGGCTAGGGGGTACAAAAAGTCAGAGTAGTAAACATTTCGGAGGGTCCAGCCCTAGTACCACATTTACGAAGGTCCCTGACCACGGTTCAAGCGTGATAGATACATACGTAGTCGAAATCTGTAATTTGTACATTCTTGCAGTTCTGGAACAGACCAATAATAAGGCGTTAGAACAGCTTCGTAAAACTACAGAAATTAGCAGAAGCCGAGAACACTTCGAAAAAATTGTAATCAGCTGGTAGCTTTACCTTACTTTTTATACCCTCCACCATAGTATGGAGGGTATATTAAATTTGTCATTCCGTTTGTAACACCTCGAAATATACATTTTAGACCCCACAAAATATAAATATTCTTGATCAGAATAAAATTCTATATCGATTTAGCAATGTCCGTCTGTCTGTCCGTCTATCCGTCTGTGAAAATCACTCTATCTTCCGAACGAAATGAAGTAGGTTGATAAAATTTTAATCAAATGTGTATTATGCCTGCAGGACATTTGGTAATTAAAATGGGCTATGTAGGTCCACGTCTTCGTATAGACGCAATATAACGGTACCACCCGATATTCGGTATTTTGATGATTTTAACGACATTATTTACCAGAATTGTTTCAAATTTGGTATTTGAAGTTCATAATGGATACTACAGTACAAAACAGAAAATGGGCCATGAAAGTCCACGTCTTCGTATAGCCCCCATGTAACGTTACCTCCCGATATTCGATATTTTGATTATTTTAACGACATTATTTACCGGAACTGTTTCAAATTTTGTATTTGAAGTTCGTAATGGATACTACATCCTAAGACAGAAAATGAGCCATGTAGGTCCACGTCTTCGTATAGCCCCATATAACGGTACTTCCCGATATTGGATATTTAAATGATTTTAGAGTCATTATTCACCTGAACTATTTCAAATTTAGTATTTGAAGTTCGTAATGAATACTACAGCCTATGACAGAAAATTGTCTGTACAGGTTCACGTCTTCGTATAGCCTCCATATAACAGTACCCCCCTATATTCGGTATTTTGATGATTTTAGCGACATTATTTACCGGAATTATTTCACATTTTGTATTTGAAGTTCGTAATGGATACTACAGCCTATGCCAGAAAATTGTCTGTGCAGGTGATACCTTCGTATATTCTGTATTTCGACGATTTTGGTTACATTATGAACAGATTTTTTCCAAATTTCGCATTTGTATATTGTAATAGCTAGCTAATATACGGTTAAATTCGGTATTTTTAAGATTTTAACAGAATTTTTTATCGGATTTTATTTTTTTGAAAATTGCCAAATTTGTACCAAATGGTGGAGGGTATTCAAAGTTCGGCCCGGCCGAATGCAATGAATTCATAAATGTATTCATTGTTCTTTGCAGACAAAATTGGAAACAATTGTTACCAAATAGTGTCTGATAAATCAGAAGTTCAGTAAAAGCGAACTAGAGAGTCATAAAAATATTAGGTATATCCTAGCATATCCCCTAAACTCTGCTTAATTATTTTAGTAGCGACATCTCATGGCATTTTTACAACAATAAAGAAATATTGTCTTACCAACACTGTTGAAATTCCAATATCCTTTACAACACTTATTGGTGACAGCTGTCACACAAAACTCTCAACATCTGGTAACACATCCACACAACACTCACACAATTAAGACCAAAAATTTAAACAAACAACAAACGTACGGCGCGAAAGTGACGCCACAAAAGGAACAAAAAAACAAACGCAAGGAAAGGTGTGCGACATTAAATTTATAAAACAAATATTAACTTTAAACAAAATGAGCGAAATGCGTAGTGAAAAGTTCAAAAAATTTAATAAAGTCTATCTGCTGGAAAAACAACGAATCGATAGTTTTAAGAATTGGCCTTACGACGAGGCAGCCGATTGTAGCATCAGTAAAATGGCTCAAGCTGGTTTCTATTGGTCGGGGAATAAAAGTGACGACGACACTGTGACCTGTTTTGTATGTGGCAAAACCCTGCACGGTTGGGATCCCACCGATGATCCTTGGAAAGAACATGCCAAGCATGCGCCACAATGTCAATTTGTTAAATATGGTCACAAAGAAGCTGATCTGACGGTATGTACTTGTGTGTGCATTGTTGTTGTTGCGACGTAAGTCATGTTTATGCATGTTTCCCTAAATTTGTTGCATTTCTAGGTGGAAGAGTTCCTGAATATCTTCTCTGCCGTTGGGATGAACAAAATGATGAAGGATTTTAATGGCATTAAGTCAAAATTTCTGGCACAAGCCTCATCCGAAATGGAAAAATGTTTAATGGAAAAGAAATAGTATCGCAGTTTTATGTTTAGTATATACTTTTAGTTGTAACGTAGTTTATTTATAGAAACAAATAAAGATATTTTATATAACGTATATATTTTGGATACGTAGAAGAGGCTTTAGTATTGAGTGATGCTGATGTCTTCTGAGGGGTGAATTCTGCCACATTAGAGCCACAGAACTGAGACAACAAAGGACCAAGGTGCAAAGTATCAAAATGAAATTGAAGTTTTTCAGAAGCAAATATATGACAAATCACTGAATATGTATTCCTTAAAATTTCTTCAATGTTTTCAGCAGAACATTGTGCTATGTGCACAATAGCTTCAGTTAAAGAGCGACGAAATAATAGGTATGTTTAATAACTGAATGAAACTTCTCTGTAGAGTTTGTACACTCTCAATAACTCAGTGATGATTTAAAAATAATTAAATAGAATCGTAAAATATAAAGCAAAACAGAATTTTAATTTTCTCTTAAATTATCTCTTTTCGGCTCATGTTCTAGAACACGGTTTTGATGATGATGTAAACTGAATTGCTAATTTAAATTTTCATTTTAATAAAATAATTGGGTTGTAGTATACCTAATACTTGTGCCAATGACAGATGTTGATGGCTTGTGCGCGCAGATGCTATAACTTTGAAAGGAAAAAAAAGTCACCAGTTGCTAAATCTAAGATATTTCAACTGCTACTACAGGGTTTTCAAACAGCTGCCAGTATTTTACAAGCAGAAATCTAGGCCATTATTGACAATAGAAGGATGCAAGGCTCAACAACGCATTAAAATTCCCTGCAAACTTGGTCAAAGTTCGCAGAACTAAATCTTTTATGAATCGCCATGAAGCATAATGCCCGACCGCAGTTAAAAATGTGATGAATAAAACTTGTACACGTCATTCAAAAACACCAGAGAATATTACTGCTGCACACTTGGGGTCTTAAGTCTTATAATAATCATTATCACAATTACTCAAGCCGACCGACAATGTCGTGACTTTGTTGTTTGGGTCCTTTAAATTTATAAAAATGATCTAGAATTTGATCGAATAATCATATTGACTCATAAGGTCCAATTCGCGCAAAATTGTCTCATCTGAGGAAGGAACCACCTTTGTATCTCGAAGAGTTTACCCTAATTGACCACTGACTGTAGCCTGTTATTTCATTCACTATTTAATTTATAAATCCATTATACGATGTATAAAAAATAAGCGAATTTAATGTTTAGTTGAATACTCACTTCGACTGCTCATTTTGCTGGTAACATATACTCCTTAATTCAGTGAAAATTATCACAACGACGAATAAAGTTCCGCGTATCGTACACAAAGAAACCCGCGACCCGTAAAATGCTTCAATTTCTTCTTTTGACTGCTCATTTTGTTTGTAACATATACTCCTTAATTCAGCGAAGATTATTACAACGACGAATAAAGTTCCGCGTATCGTACACAAAGAAAGCCGCGACCCGTAAACCGGAAAAATGCTTAAATTTCTTGTTTCGTAGCTAAAGGAAATCAATTTACAATTATTTTTTTCTGAAAAATATATAAAAACTTAAGATTATTGAAAGTATAGAAATAAAAGCGTTGACCACTAAGCTGCAAACCACGTATCCGACGACATTACAGCACGCCAACATAAAATCGAATGTAAATATTCTCAAACACCACGTTACCGAGTCATACCCGGAGAAAAAGCAACACAATGACTAGGACTCAAGGAAATAAAATATTGGAAACTTTTGTATGAGGGATTGAATTCTATTCTTCACAAAATATTTTCATGTTATAAAACGTTTCTGAAAAAAGGCAACTAACTACTCTCATTCTTTGAGAGGCCATTTTACACATTACATTAACACAAACCCCGAATTGCAACTAATGAATAGTTAAGAACAAAACACGTTATAAAACGTTCTTAAGAAAATCACAATTTATATAAACTCAATATTTTGAAGCTTCATTAAATGAAATGTATTATTCTAATAGGATTTCTTTTGCCAATGAGATGCTTATCGTTCGTTAAAGGCGCCATTACTGTGGCGTCATTTCCTATCTGTCTAAAAGAATAACGGACAATCAGCAAACATCAGATGATCACTATGGTTGCCAAAGCACAATAAGTACATTTCTTAGAGCTTTTTATGAATTGTGAGTAAGACCACGTTTACATAGAAGTACTTCACATCTATTGCAACATGCATATTTTCCATTTTAACAATCAACAACATTTATAATTTTGGCATTAAAATGTATTGTCCTTCTATCTAGCATTCGATTCTTGTGGGCTTTCCTCAATATAATAATTTAGTGAACAAATTATTCGATTCTTGTGGGCTTTCCTCAAAATAATAATTTAGTGAACAAAATAAAACAGAAACAAATCATGGTACAATAAGGAGGTAAAACAGCTTTGTAAAATTACAGAAATACAGCCCTGAGTCAATCCCCGCTTCCTGTCAGAATTATTTTATATTATGCGCAACAAGTTGTTTTCATTTATTGCATTTTTTAATGAGTTAGAAATCGTGAAAAATGAATGAGATGTCTGGGTAATGTTATCCAAACTGTTCAACCTTTCAATTCTATGGCAAAACTGGTCAATATCTGCAATGCGCGCCCTGCAATGATTTTGAAAATATTTTCGGGCACACTTAGAAAAAAATTGTAATCAGCTGCGAGCTCTACAATACCTTTTTATTGTACCATGAAACAAATCAATTATCATGGCAGAAGAATACAGGTAGATGCATCAACGCTTGGGAGCATTGATTGAGCATTTTTTATTAAAAATTTTCAATTCCAAAATTGGTTTGACAGTTCATTGTACCAGCAGCTGTGTCGACGCGTCTACCTATATTCTTCTACCATGTCAATTATTGTATGTTCAAAAGACTATTTGGCACAATACGACTTTAGTACGGAGTTGCATTTACCTAGTTGAGCCATGCGGTCATCTATATGGAACAAGTACAAAACTATAATTTTGAGACAAGCAAAATGGTTAAATTGCATAACACTACCTTTTGATTCTACTATGGTCTCAATCAGGATGTATAACAATTTTAGTCCAATTCAAATGGGGCAAAGTAAAGGCGCAAATACATAAAAAGCTTGAAGTCATGGCTAGGCATATTAATATCATGTTATAATGGAAAACGACGGCAGGATTTTAGTGCGGTTTGGCAATCTCTTTATGAAATGTCACAAAATATGCCTAGCCATGATTTCAAGCTTCTTATGTGCTTACACCTTAAGTCTATTTCGCAATAAAGCTCACTATTTATTTATGTGGACTTATATGTAGAAATATGGTACAATAACAGGAGGAAGAATAAAGATGACAATACATTAGAGGAATTTTTGAGTGTTTGGGTCAAATAAATATAATAAGAATAATAATAAAGAGAATAAGAATAATAACATAGAATAAGTTTTTTACTAGCATAAGTCATCGGCTGGCTTCAACGTAAAAGAACAAAGGAGCGTAGGGGGAACAAGAATAAATTATAAACCGAAATTGAATTAACTGCCTGTTTTTGTAACAGTATTTTTTACTTTTGTTTGGAAATTTGGCAAAAGAAATTAAATTTTGAGTTTTTGTAGTATATGTTTTTTTTCTGTCAGTGACAAACCCAAGAAAGTTTTTCCATCTTTTTTTTTGGTTTTTGTAACGAAAAAATACGAACAAAAATGTCAGAAAAAACATTAGGAGGGGCCCTTAGTTTTGAACAGCAATTGGCTATTTGTTACAGAGTCACGCCAAAATTGTGTGGGTAGGATGAGGAATTTATTTATGAACTGTTGCAAGACTATTGGTCTGTTCCAGAACTGCAAGAATGTACAAGTTTTCACTACGATAACCGATTTTCCCTTTACGAATCGAAGAGAATTGGAAAACTAGTGGATTTTTGCAGGTACAAATGTTTTCTCGTCAAATTTAAATTTTTATACCCTACAACACTATGTGTTGGGGGAATTATAAGTTTGATTGGGCAAAAAAAAATATAAAACACCTCGAAATATTGGTTTCCCATATAGAAAAGTATATATGGATCTTCCTACCTCGCCGAGCTGAGTCGATCTAGCTATGTATGTCCGTTCGTCCGTCTGTCCATGTTAATTTGTAATCACTCTACAGGTCGCAATTATGGCCCGATCTTCACGAAATTTAGAATGGCTTTTGGAGATTATCGCATAATATTTAGGGGTCGAAATGGACCAAAAACTGAACGATTTCCTGATTTTGCAGTTGCTCTACAGGTTGCAATTATAGACCAATCGAATTTAGCATGGGGCTAGAGCTTAGGGCTGGGCAGAAGTCTTCCAATTTTGGTGGTCATCGGGTAATATTTAGTTTGTGAAATAGACCATAACATTTGTGGACCAAAAACAGAAAAAATTCCCTGATCACACAATTGAAGTCAATCGACACGTTTAAGAAGAGAATTAAGGACAGGGAAGAATTGTAGCATTTTGGATGACCACTGGATTATATTTAGTTATAAAATGAACAACAACAACTAACAGCACGACGGAGTGTGTAAATATTGAGCAAAAAAAAATATATATATATATATTTCACGAACGATTTCACCACTTTTACACGAACGATTCGAGTGAAAGAAACTTTTTTTACAAAAATTGGCTGTAAATCCACTAAATCCAGTTAAAATGCCTCTTATTTACTTGCATCTTAAACAGTTGGTATAAGTAAAATTAGATCTACCATACTGTCAACATTTTAATTAAAGTTTCAAACGTTAATTTTCCAATTGCATGCACTTTGATGGATAGTTGAAACATGGTAGAAGAATACAGGTGGTCGCATTGAGACAGCTGCTGGGCAGTGAACTGTCAAAACAATTTTGAATGAAAAATTATTCAAATTTGTAAAAATTGTTGAAAAATGCATATCATAACAACCTCCGATTGGTGTCGCATAAGAATAAGTACAAAAAGAATAAATAAAAAAGTCGATTTGACTTATTTTTGACAAAACTTTTTAAAAATGTTGAGATATTAGTTTTCCCAAGCATTAATGCATCTACCTGTATTCTTCTACCATGGTCGAAACAAATAGAAATTGTTGTTTTGATTTGTTTGTGAATAAATAATTTAAAAACGTGAAATTTCAATGAAAGATTAAAATTTTTGAATGTAAATGGTAACATATGAAAATGTCGATTTTAAATATTTTGCAAATAATTTTTTATGTACATTAAAAAAAGAAGGAATAAGACCATGCCTAGTAAAGTGTATACTACATTATGACGGCATACGCCGTTATTAAGATACTACCTAAACAGCTGGAACAAAACAAATTGTTGGCGGCGTTGAACTTCTCAGACGAACGGCAGCTCCTAAAAACGAATCACACAATTCAACGGCTTCATAGTCTTCTCGGTCGCTCTGTGCATTTTGTTACTTAAGTCCCGGAGTTGTGAAAAATACTAAATTCTAAAATATTGCAAATATAGATAAATAAAACAATAATTAAAGAATTGTATTTGTATTAAATAAATTGTGCGTTTTATTTATTAAAATAACACAAACAAGATCCCAGAGTAGAAAGCTTAGAAATTGACTATCGAAAGAAAGTTGTTTTTGCAATTGCAATTTTGCAGAAAATCGCGGAAGTAAAAATAATACATAAAAACGAAAAATTATGTGATAGTAAAATTCATTGCAAACCTATTTTGTTGTAATTTGTGTGTGTGTGGATTACGTTATCACCATAAACAAAATCAATTATACAATTATCGATTACAAATTGATTAAAAATAAAATTAACTTTCACCTTATTACGAAGTCGTCTACTACAAAGAAGAAATACAAACAATAAATGTGGCCCAAATAGTAAAGAAATGCAGCCAAAAACAACGTATTGACCAACAACAAATTTAGAAGGGAAAATAAATCTAAATTAATTTTGTATTTTTGCACAACGCAAAATTGTTAGTAGTAACAAATTGACAAAACGAACATCTTCACAACATACCAACCTTTCTGGGATAGCAGTGACTGAAAATAATAAATATCTGGGTTGCGGTGGGGGGTCCGGGTAAGATTGGAAATTGGCGACCAGACATATTGATGTAAAATTAAACACATCGTGGCAGAGCAGCGATAGTGTGGGTGTATCGAGTTGTGGTTATTACATTTACGTTGCCATCTTTACGTTTATACAAGTGATAAGTGGTGCAAGAAGAACAAGGGACCAACTATCAAAAGTTTTATTTTCCTGTATTCAGAAACCAAATTGGTATTTTCCTATATTCAGATACCAGAGAGGGAAAACAGTTTTATTTATCATCATCCTTTGTCTACTACTCCTGTTTCGTCGGCTGTGAGTGTGTGTGCGAGTTTTTTTATCATTATTAATTTGTGAATAATTAATGTAATTGACGTCATATTACAACTCGTTCTTTGTTTTATTTCATTCTATTTATGGGTACATAGTTATGGCCAATCCAGCTCCTTTAATGAGTTTTGTGGAATTCGTCAAATCCGAAGCTGAAGTTGGTGGTAGCGGCAAATACTCCAACAGTTCTTCATTCCCCGTACCACCATTACAACATAAAATTACCAAATTGAGTTATGACTTACACGAAGAAATTCGCAAATGTACCGAAAATTCCACAATTTCAAAACGTCTCCGCGAAGAACTGGAAAGGTAAGCAATAATGAAAAATCTTCGTCATCTGCCATTTAAAACAGCATTCTACATTCACTTTAATTGTTGCTACTCACTCGCCTATGTTTTCATGTTTTTATTTTTTCGCTAACATTGAAAACAAGTCAATGAACTTGTTTGTCAATTTTCGGTTGTATTATTTCATTGTAGTTAAATGATTCTCTTTAAAGATTTCTGTTTATGATTCTGGTTTTGATTTTATTTTGTTGTCAAAAGCGCATAAAAACCAACATCATCATCTACATCAATGCAAACAAAATACATACACGGAACCAATCACTGCCTGCCTGTCGGTCTGCCAGCACTTTCAATGTTTACAAACATTATGCATCTCAGACCGGTCATACTCTTTGATTTTTGCGCTCAGATCATTAGATCGCTAAGTTATCTCTCTTGGTGTTGTTGATTGCCAGAGTTTCCAATGTTTTATTATATGAGTAAAACAAGTTTGTTTTGATTTTAATACGGAACTTATGTATGTGAATGAATAATGCAGTGTGGTTATACCAAAAATCATCTTGATTATTTTGATTAGGAATAGAACATTTCAGCAGCTTAGAATAAAAACCCGTTGCCAAGACAATTATCATGAAGTCTAGAACGCTCCATTATGCACAAAATTTAGGAATGCACTGTAGACTATTGATAGGAATTTAATTAGTATGTACATATATATTAAAAATACCCCATAATGTTAGACGACAAATTTCTTTGAATATTTTCTATTGCCATAGAGTTCAAAGTCGCTTTAAGGATTGTAAATCGTCTGTTGACTGAAATTTGGCATAACTGTTTACTGTAGTACTCCTAAGCTATTTGGTATCAAGGTACAATGAATCTAAGGTAGTATAAGTTTGAGAAAGATGTAAGATAAAAATAATCACCTGTATGATTTGTTATGCCAGAACTACTATCGAAAAATACGACAAGTTGTTTTGTTTATTTGATTCCTTGAATAAAGAAGAAACTGGAAAACTTCGCCATTAATTCAATCAATTGTTCGCCAAAAATGCAGGAATTTAGAAAAAAATTCGAAGATAAATGTCTATATAGGTCCACGATGTCATATATCTCCTATACAATGGTTCCTCCCGATATTCGGTATTTTAATGATTTTTGCAACGTTATTCACCGGAATTGTTTCAAAATTCGTATATAAAGTTCGGAACAGTTGCTACAGACTACAAATTACTTATGCAGGACCACGTCTCCGTATTGCACCCATATAACGGTTTTCATTTGAGCGTTATTTTCCGACGGAATTCGAAATCGAAAAAAATTGCAAGAATAGATTCTTTCAGGTCCTGGAACAGAGCAAGTATTTATTAGCAATTCCTAGCCTATTGGCTTCTCTTAATTCGAAGGATCAAAGGATTTGATTTTCGCTTTATCTTTACCTTTTACTGATTTGTCAATATTCCCGCTATCAGCACAATAGAAGATAACTCACATAACCTAATCACAGATAAGGAATTTGTCCAGAATGATCTGGCAATTATGCAGATGTTCAAATGATTTCCCTAATATTGATTAAGTATGCGTATCTAGCTGTTTGCCAGAGAGCCTTGTTGGAGAAATAAGGGAATCATGGTATGGATAAAAGGCCTAACTTTGTTCTAGGTCAGGGGAACCAACCTACGGGTAGACATTCTGATAACCTGCAAGCCACTTAACGTGAAGTAGTAGAAGAAGTTTTGGGGGTATTAATAGGAGAAATCTAAAAAGTAGCAACAACTTGTTACTGGCATTTAAATGTTTTAAATAGGCTTCGAATAAATGACATATTACTATTTTCCTTTTATTCCTAAAACGAATCGAATTTACATACAGGTTTTACAAAATGTATCAAATTTGGTAAATTACGTTTTATTAAACGATATTTCTTCGTCACATGTCTGTCCCCCTTAGAACAGAGAAAATAAAAACCGAAAACTGAATATTTATAACTAATATAACAAAAAAAATAATCTGCATATTCTATATTTATAGCAGATTTAGAAAAAAATGTGTCAACCACCATATGTGGTAGATAGCTAATTTTTTTGCCATCTGTTGTGCGCTAACTTGTTTTAGGGAGCTAACAATATTTAATTAATTATTAATGTGTATTTCGTTTCTGTTTTAAAATGGAAGCAGTTTTCATTTCATTTGCGTTCTGTTATTGTTTATAATTTGATGACCTATATCAATATTACTGCATTCTCTTCCTTTTTATTCTAATTGCCGGTATGGTTTAATTTTAAGTTATTTTCTAGGCAGATAATTTGTTTTTGAAAGTGAATTCATATTGACCGACAATTTGTTCGATATGTACGAGGAAGAAGAATTCTTAACAAGATGTTTAAAGAAATTTTATTATCTATTATGTGCTCCTCTGTTCCAGTACCTGCAAAAATCTCAACCTTAATTACTCTTTTACACTCATTACCGTAAGAATGGAATTATTTTTATTGCTATATTCTAATATTCGTAATTTTTTTATCATGTTTCTGCCACTATTTCCCACTGAATGAGTGCCAGTTTGACATTTCGGAGTTTTTTCATGTAAACATTCAACCAAAATCTACGTTCCCAACCAATATACTCTTGGGGCTTACAAATACAATAGAATACAAAATTTTCTTTTCTTTACCACACATTAGTTAGTTAGGAAAATGGACTTGGACGTGTATCCGGATGTGGGGACTATATTTAAATAAATGCCTATGAGGACAACTTTCTGTAAGATGGTTCTCTACCTCAGGGTAACCTAAATAAAATTTTTTAACCAAATCCATAGATGAATGTGGCCAAGACCACAAGATGGGCCCTACTCCGAAAATTACAAATTTTATGCGAAGAGGTTTTCTACCACCTTAGAAACAAAGATACCAAATATGGGTCAAAAAAAAATGAAAAAAGTGGCCACGACCCCGAAAATAGCTTAAATCATATGATGGTTATACCAAAACGTGATCATTTTTTGCAAGGATGGTATCTTCTAAATCTAAAGTGGCCAAGACACCGAAAATAGCTTAAATTATATGATGGTTATACCAAAACGTGATCATTTTTTGCATGTATGGTATCTTTTCTAATTCATTTGCAAAATTAGTATGACAAATATGGTCAAAGTATAAAATATACTTGAAATCGGGTTATACCCTTATGCGGGGGTCATGACCCATATCATGACCTGCAAAAGCGATATAAATATATTGAATGTTTAGGAAGAATTTCTGGAAGGATATAAATTCTGTTCTTTCCAAATGACCAATTCTCTCTACTATTTTTGCACCTTTTTTATTCGGGATTTCGCTGATTGCAGTCCCAATGAATTTTGCATTTTGCGTACTCAGGACGGATTTTTGTCATATTAAAGAAGTAGATCCACGTTTTGAAATGAGCCCCATAACGCCTTGTCTGTCATTTTTGTCTCCTTAAAAGTGTTCTTTCAGCTGAAGCACGATGTAGGTCCTGGAGTTGAAAGCCATTTAACATTGTATTGTGCACTCATTTCATTTTTAATATTATTCATTCAGAATTCAAAACAAGGAAGATAATATTTATATAATTTTCTGTTTCCTTTACTCAACAGCTACAATCGCGAGACGAGACGTGAAATTGTGCGACGCATGAGAGGTGGTTGTGCTCCCTTATTTATCGCCTGCAGCCGTGGTTGTGTACCAATTGCTGAATATCTAGTCACCATCTGTGAAGCCGATATAGAGCAAAAAGGTATTTTCGAAGCCCCCGAGGATCGTTCATATCACATAGCAACACCGCTCTGGTGTGCCGCTGTTTCGAATAATTTACCCATGGTAAAATATTTGCTTAGAATCGGCAGTGATATAAATGCAGCTTCCGATACTGGATCAACGCCGGTTCGAAGTGCCTGCTATATGACACACATGGAAATGGGTGAGTAGTATTCGTTTGAGTTGTAATAATCCATAAATGCAAATAATAATCATGTCTTTCATATATCCCTCTTAGTTAAGTTTTTAGTCGAAAATGGTGCCGATATCAAACGTCCAAATATCAACGGTGGAACTTGTTTAATAAACTCAGTTCAATCACCAGAATTGTGCTTATATCTAATACGTAAGGGATGTGACGTAAACGCTGTCGATATACAAGGAAAGACAGCTTTACACTATGCCATACAAGAACACAGGTGAGTCGGATTGCTGACATATTATTCAGATAAGTATTGAAATTGACAATTTTAACATTGTATCATGTGCAGAAAGTGTGTAGGCATCAAGGTGATTTAAGGCTTCGGCTGGATTTTTTTTCGTAAAAGAACAAAGGAGTTTTAGGTCGACCTAGTTAAATTTCGGCCCGTAATTTAAACTTGTTCATCCTACGCTTCTTTGTTCCTTTACGTAGAAGTCAGTCGATGATTCAAGCCAGTCAAAAAAGATAATTATTATATTGGGGTCAAACGGTTAACGTATGGCTATCCAACACAAATCCAAATCTTATTTCAAACAAAACGCCCTGCACACTAAAAACATGTTTGGTCAAAGTAAGGCTAAACTATATACATATATAAACTCCTTGTTTATAAAATGCCGATGTTGGTGGATTAGGCGGTGGATCAATGCTTACTTCCATGAGTTACAAACAGAACGAAGAACTTAATTAAGCCTCCATAGACGAAGGATTGTCCGTATTTTAAAGGAACATACTTCTTTAAAATACTGAAAATCATTTGTATATGGAGGCTTAATTAGGCACTTAACCATGTCCGTCCGTCTGAGAAAATCAATCTAGATTCCAAACGGAATGAAACAGATGAATATAATTTTAGTCAAATGTATTTTGGAATTTGGGTATGGTCCCCCATTAAACGGTATCGACCTAAATCGGTCTTCAACCGAATATTCTGTGAATTTTTTTCATTCCGCAGGAAACCTCTTTGGAAAAAAATGTCCATATACGTCGTGTTGTTCGAAGATTATAACCACATCTTTCAACAGAATAGTTTCAAAGTTGATGACAAAATTGTCTACACAAGTCCGGTTTTCGTATAGCCCCAATATAATAGTACCAACTGATATTCGGTAATTATTTTATTCGATTCATTGAGAAATAGAAAAATGTAATGATTTTAGCTTTAATGATTTTAGTATTTTGAAGGGAACTGTTTAAAAGTTAGGCACAGAAGATCGCAATAGATATGACCGATTATTATCTATATATAACCTCATGTTTGTATAGGAGCACAAAATTGTGTCTCCCAACTTTTGGCATTATAAGTTCCTCAGTGTTACTTACCAAACGGTGGAAAATACTGAATTCCATGCAATTATTTACGAGCAAATCTTAACTCTTTTTCAGACTGGAAACAACCAAACTTTTACTAGAACATGGTGCCAATCCTAATGCTGTCAGCCGACATGGTGATGATGCCCTGCGAACAGCTTGTTTAAAGGGAGCACATCAAATCTTTGACTATTTACGAAACAACTTGGAATATCCCTTGGAGAGGTTAGCTGAAGCTCATGAGTTAATAGGTTGGATATAAATGCTTTAAATATTTCAATATCAATATGAACTATAAATAAGTTTCTTTGTTTACCATAGGCTCAACATTTTTGGATGAACACAATGAAAGTCGTGTGGCCATACTACATTGGCGTCTGGCACACCATTTAAGGGCTTCACGAACACCATATATAGGTAAGAAAGAACAAACCTACTTTAAGAACTTCGCAATAGAACATTGACCTAAATGTATTGCATTTTCGATTTTAGAAAAACTTCCAAAAGTTCCTTTACGAGAAGCCTATTGCAATGCAGTGGAATTTCGTACTCTCGAAGAACTCGATAACATTTCCACCGATATGGATGCAATGCGTATACAAAGTTTGCTCATCTGTGAACGTATATTAGGTATATCCCATAAAGATACCCTCTTCCGATTAACATTTCGTGGTGCTTCATATGCTGATTCCCTGCAATTACAAAGATGCATCCAACTGTGGACGTTATTGCTGGAAGTACGAGTTCAACATAATACATTATTGCATTTCGATACATGTTTTGCCGCACAGGCGTTAGTAAGACTTATGCTGGAATTACATGAACGCAATACTGATCTGAGTGAAAGTAATTCTGGTAATGTAAAATTGCCATATTTCAAAGATGTTTTGGCAGTTTTTAAACTACTCACAGAGACTGTGGCCGAATGTCATGCCCTATTGCAGATACGTCCGATCTCAAGGCGTCAACAGGAGAATTTCGATAGTATTTTTAAGTGTATAGCCCACGCCATATATTTGTTACTTGCCACAGCTACTACAGTCGAAGAAACCCGCCTTGTATATTTATCGGTGCGGAAATTGGTGCAAGCCAACATAACAAGTGCATGTACCAATGATTCACTGTTGCACTTGTGTGTTTCCCGTTTGAATGTTATCAAAAGCGGGCTACTTAATGATGAAAATCTTAATGTAAGTAAATGTAGAAAATCAAATTTAATATAGAAAAAATATTAATTTCAAATGTTTGTATTTTAAAGGTAATTTTTCCAAATGCATCTGTTATTAAGCTGTTACTGAACTGTGGCATGAATGTCAATGCGAAAAATGAAGTAAAATCTACTGCATTGCACATTGCCGCCCAACCATATAATTTCAGCAATGAGGTAAAATATATCACAGATTATTATTTGTTACGTAATCCAAAAGACACAAATTTTTCATTTTACAGATAATTACAATTCTTCTCAATCATGGTGCAGATCTCGATCAACCAAATAAATCGGATGAACGTCCGTATAATTTGATTTCATTAAATGCAGCAAATACTATACCGCTTATGAATCACATTAATCTGAAATGCTTGGCTGCCACAATAATTAGTAAATATCGTATACCGTATCGTAACCAAATACCTAAATGTTTAGAAAATTTTGTCAAAGACCATGAACCTTGAGAACGTCATCATCACTACGAAGTATTCAAATAAACTATTTTTATCCTAAATGTGGCAAATTTTTTTGTTTTCTTTGTAATTTTTACCAATATGAAAAGTTTTTTTTACTATTTATAAAATACGCAAATAACACTGCAAACTTAACCTAAAGAAGTAAATATCTACAATAACAACAATGAATACAATGCAATTATAATCCATAAAATGCATAATACATAAAGTGATATATAATACTCGAATAATTGTAAAAACGATGTTATACCTACTACTTAACACATACATACATAATATATACAAACTTGATAAACAATTATTTATTTTAAAATAGAAGAAAAAGGAACAACATTTACAAGAACACTCATACATACATGTATACATATTTAATCACAAGAGTTGTTGAGCTTAAAAAGTGTAATTTATTTCACTCAAGTTATTATACCGAATAAACATCTATCAATATAATTAATACCAATTATCTTGTGATTTGTTATAAACTAATATATGGGTTGTGTAGAATATTTCCACATTCGTTGTAGTGAAGGACTGGTTATAAACTTCAGCTGTATTCTCTCTCCCATTACGGCATTGATAAATAAAATATGGCAGTTTAATATTTCCAACCCTTCCTTTACGATATATTCTTAGCAGATAATTAAAGAAAATAAAAAATAGGTCTATAACTCAAAATTGAAAATAATAATTTTCTTTATGCTTTTCATTTCTTTATTGGCATGTATCAAAACTCATTCTTGTAATAGTATAATATTTTTATTTTTTAATCATTTTTCACATTTAATTCACTGATGATCATCCCAGCTGTCACTGCCTCCTGTGGTCTTGACATCTAAACGCATTCTAATCCCATATTTTAGCATCTACATCTCCTCCACTAATATTATACTTCCATTGAACTGTGGAGGGTATATTAACTTTGTCATTCCGTTTGTAACCCCTCGAAATACTCATGTCAGACCCAACAAAGTGTATATTCTTGATCAGCGTAAAAATCTAAGTCGATTTAGCGATTTCCGTCTGTATGTCTGTTGTAATCACGCAATCGTTCGAACGAATTGAGATAAAAGGTCAGTAGGCAGGTTAAGTTCGTAAATGGCCCATGTAAGTCCACGTTTTCATATAGTCCCCATATAACGGTATTTTGATGATTTTATCGACATTATTCACCGGAATTGTTTCAAATTTGGTATTTGAAGTTCGTAATGGATACTACAGCCTAAGACAGAAAATTGTATGTGCAGGTCCACGTCTTCGTATAGACCCCATATAACGGTACCTCCCAATATTCGGTATTTTGATGATTTTAGCATCATTGTTCACCGGCGTAATTTCAGGTGCAGGTCTTCGTATAGGCAACATATACCAGTACCTCCCTATATTCGGTATTTTGACGATTTTAGGTACAATACTTACCGAAATTGTTTGAGATGTCGTATTTGAAATTCGTAATGGATGCTACAGCCTGTGACAGAAAATTTTCTATGCAGGTCCAGGTCTTCGTATAACTCCGATATAACGGTACCTCCCTATATACGGTATGATGATTTTAGCAACATTATTCACCGTTTATTCCAAGTTTCGAATTTCGGTAATGGCTTATGACAAACAATGTCTATGTAGGTCCACGTCGTATAGATCCCAATATAGCGGCTATATACGGTATTTTTAAGATTTTAACAAAATTTTTAAGGGATTTAATTTTTTGAAAATTTCCAAATTCGTTTCAAATGGTGGAGGGTATTCAAAGTTCGGCCCGTCGAACTTCCTGCTTTTTAACTGGTTGATACCTCCAGTCTAAAATGAGATTGAAATAATATATACAACAGATTCCCAGATTTACTGTTCGTCATTACCTTCAGAATTCTGTCAGGAAATGGGTCCCAAATTCGCGTGATTTTGCTTTTATTTTATTATTCTACTGCGAATTACGAATCGTGCGTATGAACGGGTTAATTCGTGTGTCTATTTCTGAGAGCGAACAACGTGATTGAAAGTGTATGTAATGAGAACATAGCATATGTTGGTGGACACTAATAAACTTTGACTGCAAGAATGTAACAGTACGTTTATATATATGAGGGTTAACCCACTAGATTTGGATTTAAATTGTCATATCCATTACTTTTACTTCAAATAAATCCTCTCAAAGTAGGTTAACCCTACAAAAAGTTCTAACGTAAACATGGCATAAAAGTGTTTACTACTATTAACCGATTTTCCTTTATGATATCGAAAAAATAATGGCAAAACTAAAAGATTCTAGCTCTGTTCCAGTACCTGCAAGAATCTACTAGTTTTGATAGTTTTCTCGATATTATAAAGGGAAAATCGGTTATCGTTCTGGAACAGACCATCTTGTAGGTTCTGGAACAGAGCATATCTATTGCAAACAATCTACGAGTTTTGCAATCGATATCATATAGAAAAAAATCGGAAATCGTAGTGACATTTTTAAATTCTCGCATGCTCTGTTCCAGAACAGGCAAGAATCTACAATTTTTACGATTTATTTCGGTTATCGTAGTAAAAACTTTTACCTTCTTGCAGTTCGGAAACATACCATCATTTTGTGGAACGGAGCATTTATCCAATCTTTATCAAGTGATCTTGCAACTCTTCTTCTGCCTTTTCTGAGTATCTACGGATTTAATTAAATATTTAATAGTACTATGTGAACATAGCATTAAGCTAAGACCTAAACAAATCGTAATCTGTATTAATTGTGCAATGGCAACCCTATTAATCAACTGACGTTTGTTATGTGTCCGTTGTTGCAGAGGAAATGACGCCCCAGTGATGGCGCGTTTTGCGAACAACGAACATCTCATTTGTACAAAACAAATATCTAATTGGAAAAAAATAGATCCAATCGAAGTACTATGTTAATATTATTGCCGATAAATGAATTTTTATAAGTTTAATATCCTTACGAATATAGTCAATGTGGTTTTTGTGTACAGTGTTGTGATTCAATGGAAATTTGTGTATTGTGTTAATTAAATGTGTCATTTAAAGAATCATATTAGTTGTATTTTTAATATTAAAATATTTTGTGGGTCTTAAAAAAATATCTTGAATCTTTGAAAATATTGTGTGAAAAATATTTAATTTAAGTTTGCTGCTGCTAATCGTCGGGATATCTTTTCGCCGGGTGTGTGCGTGTTTTTTGTGAAAATAACTTATTTATATCCGCTAATATTGTTCCATACGAGCAGTTAGCAAGTTTAATGTCCTTTCCTTATTGTCACAGAAGGCCTAATAGAAAAGTGGTTTACTGGTTAGTATGCAGGTCCCCTATTTTTGCAATTTCGTTATTGACCTTACATTTTTTTTAGATGAATGCAATATATTCCTATTTGGATTATTTGTAATTAGGTTTTCAATTCGATTCCTTTTATTTCAAACTGTCGGTTTACGGGTCGCAGTTTTCCTACGCGTTCGGTAGCATTGATAAATGTTGTCTTTGAAAAATATACCATGTTTGTGGAGTCCTTGTTTTTAGTGAAACGAGCATTTCAGGTGAGTATGCACAATTCTTTAAATTCGCATAGATTTTTTCATTTATTTGAACGAAACTAAAACTAAACTAAACATTTTATCTTCTCTCATAAAAGATGCATTCGAAACGATTCCTTTAATTTCAAAAGAAACCAATTCATTGCATTCGACTCAAAAGTAAATTCGGTGTACAATCAGGAGGATAAGAAAGTATGATAAAAATCGTTAAAGATTCACTTAAAATCCATAAACATGCAATATACATAAACATTACAATACCGAACTTTCAAAAAACTGTTGTACCAAATGCACATAGCACGTATCGACTGATATATATACCCTTGATTTTAAAGACAAAATATGCATTTGCAATTCTACATATTTAGGTAAAAATTCGTATTCGTAATATAAATTGTTTTTTCGCAAAGTCAATACTTACATTTTAACATAATCATTAGGATTTTGTCAATAGCATGGTTACAATTCGAATGAAATTGGTCCTAGGACTTCAAATTGCATTCCAGAATTGAATTAATTTCAGTTTATAGCAGGGCTTTAGCTTTATCAATTATTGGAGACTAAGCATATCTTATTTGAGATAAAAATTAAGTAACTTTCCAAAACTTTATTTCTAAGCAGAGATCACTGTAGTGAAACAAGATAACATTTGGTAAACGCCAAATACATCACTTCCAGGAATTTGTGTTATTTTTTCAATAACATGTAGATGTATATTCGAGGGAAATAATTTTTTTCCTGCATGTATTCACTTTTATAACACGATTTTATTCATAGATACTTATATTAAAATAGTCATTTACAAAATATGTAGTATTAAATTTCATAACTATCTCTTACTTTTTGCAACTGGCGCCGAGGGATTTTCACCTTTATAGAATTCTTTTAATAAATCCATCGCCTCGTCTGCGCACAAACCACCCTCTACTTTGACTGTGTAATCAACAACTTGTGGAACATCAACAACTGTCTTGCCACCAAAACGATCGTTGGCACAACCATAAATGATTTCCTTCACTTTTAGATCGTGTAATGCTGCTGAACACATAATACAAGGCTCTACCGTTACAACCACAGAAATCTTAGGGAATACATCTTCTGACTTCAGTCCACCAACAGTGCAAAATTCCAGTACTTGGTCTATGCATATAAACTCGGCATGGCGTGTTGCATTTTTGGTGGCATTTACCTCGTTTGCTCCTCGTGCTATTACATTCCCTTCGTAAACAAATACACAACCAACAGGAACTTCACCGACGGAAAGGGCACGTCTCGCTTCCACAAAGGCTTCCTGCATGAATTTGTCAAAAATCATTTTTTTATAGTGATGAATGTGTGTTCTGTGTATTCTACCCTAAACCGTTTGTTTATAAACAAATAACATTGTGAACAGCTGATTTTAATGATGAAATATCTACACGTTTGTAACTGTAAAGTTTACGTATAGTATTCGTAACCAGTCAGTCATTTTAAATCGTCTGATTTCCCTAAATCCAAAATCCAAATTATATTTATTCAGTCTAGTTTAAAATGAAATGAAATTGAAAAATAAAAAATTAAGAGAATTGATGTTTTGTTTCAATTTGGAATTGTTTCAAATTTGGTGTTTGAAGTTCGAAATGGATACTACAGCCTGGGACATAGAATTCTGTATTTTTAAAATGAATTTTTGGCGAGTGTTATCTTTTTACGAAAATTTTGAAATTCGTTCTAAATGGTGGAGGGTATTCAAAGTTCGGCCCGGTCGAACTTACTGCTTTTTTACTTGTTGTGTTTCGAATTTCTTAAGAAACTAACATCGATATTAGCTTTTTATTTCTACGTGCAAGACATCTTTCAACATTTATGAGATTTGTTTACCAAAAATCTGTTCTTTTAGCCGAAAAATTGCTATAACTTGTAGGAAAATTTAAGAAAACGCACACAAATACGGCCTTCTCTAAACTACTTTTTAAGTCATTATCAGGCGGAATGTGTTTTACGTATGTGCCGTCGCTCCTATTATCCATATGTATAACGATTTTCACACCTGATCATGGCCCAAATATAAGGTCAGCCTTCCAAGCTAGCTGGCTACCAAATGTAATGTCATAATGTATTTTGCATCATTCCTTGGGAACATTGATATGTCAAAACATTTTTGATGTTTCTTCAAAATTAAGTAGATTTGTATATATTTTCCTCTACGACGCTAATCGCAGGTTGTTATGATATGCATTTTTAGCAATTTTTACCAATTTGAGTATTTTTTCATTAAAAAGTTCAATTCCATGGTTTTGTGTCGATGGTTCTTAAAATTTATAGGAACACGTTGTTATCATGGCATAATTATAAAAGGTAGAACAAAGCTACACCCTAAATACAAATCATTTTGTGTATGTATTATTTTGAATAAAAAATACAATAATTTGAAATTATTTCAAATTTAGTTGCAATATAAATGCAAATTTCCAACGTAAATGGTAACAAATGGTACAATTTTGTGATAAAACTGTATTGTCCTACTATTTTAGATTCAATCTTGTGAAATAACCCCGAAATTCCATTCTTGTTTCGCGGGCACAGAGTTACATTTTTAGTTTCTTTGAAACTGAGCAACCTTTCTTATTGAGTCATGGTTGTTATTCCACCATTTGATGTTACAGTGAAGAATAAGCTGAGAGAATTTTGCATTTCTAGAACCCTTTTGACCGAATTTTCGTTCTTCTAGAACCCTTTTGCAATTGTTGTCTTTGCTTTGATTTTTATCTTTATCACGCCTATCCGTTTTGTTTCTCTCTTCTTGTTGGCGCTTTTGGAGTCATTTTTCTTCAAATTAAATTAGAAAATAATAAAAAAATAAATAAAAATTGAATTCAATTCCAATAATTAAATCAAATGTCAACAGCAAAGGTGGTCAGTAAAGCAATCATAAACTTTTTTCTTAAATTCCATTAATTAAAAGCCTTTCTATAGCCAACCGAAGCAAAGGATGCTGCTCCGGTCGATGATGTCTGGGATGACACGCTTTTGATTAAAGCTTACGATGACTCTGTTAAGCTGGCTAGGGAAGAATTGGCGCGTCGTATTTCGTTATCCACTAGTAAGAAAAGTGATGTCAATGATACAAGTGAAGGTAAAAAATCCAAGTCTAGTGGAAGCGGTGGTGCTGCTGGCGGAACACTTGAGAATATTGCATCCCATGCAGAATATAAAGTAGGTGATTATGTGCGTGCCACCTATGAGGATGGCATTGATTATGAGGCGAAAATAATTTCAATCGAAAAGGAGGCAGGAACATGCCTACTAAAATACATTGGCTACGACAATGTACAGGAGGTGGCACTGTGCGATGTTATAGCTTCGTGGGGTAAAAAATATCGACGCCTACAATTTGCCAAAGCAAAACTGGAAGCCGAGACTGCAGCAGATGATGCTGTCAATACTTGCCCAAGTACTAGTGGCAAAACCTCCAAGAAAATTAAAACCAAATTAAGTAAATCCTCGATGCCTCCACCGCCTCCAATACCTCCGATGTTGACTGCATCACACAATGCCGAAGACTCAGAACATCTATCGGCAATGTTGATGTCCTGGTATATGAGTGGTTATTACACGGGTGTATATCAAGGCATGCAAATGGCCAAATCAAAGACAAAGAAGTGAACTTGTTGTAAAGTTTATGACACAAATGAAGAATATCAGCGTAATTTCTTTATTTTCACCATATGGATTATTAGTTTTTAATTTTAATTATTAGCTGGACTTAAACGAAATAAAATTGAATTACAAATACAAATGTATGTAGAATTTGGTGTTTGAGTAAGAGATTATGCAATTACTCTAGATGTATTCTAATACTCTTTGAAAAGAAACAGTAGCTTTAGGTTTTCTAAAATGTATAGATTGAAAGTTAACAATTACATTTAAGATAAAGTAAACTGATTTACATTGAAAATCAAAAGTTGATTTATCGAAAGTCTACAATTCCTTTCTAAATAAAGCAGGTTCTAATGTTATAGGTCACGATTCCATTATTATGGATAAATATACGCCCTTTGGAAAGTGTAACTTGAACGGTGTTCTATACGTTCTTTTAACGATCATATAAATAAAATTCCCTATTACGTTCTTCAATTGATATAAGCTTTTCTGTTTACGCCTGTTTTAGATTTTAAATTAGACCGGTCGCCTTAATGTTTTAATTTGTAATAAAGTTTTTTTCTATATTAAGAAGAAGACAGGAGGGGTTTCTATAGAAATGTAACATAAAGAGGACCATATAATGAATGGTATTCTATATGTATAAAGTCTGTTCATGTTTCATACATTAAGAATATTTTCTAAACTCTACTTTTGAGCATTTTTGAAGATTTTACTAACAAATATAAATAAATTAGTATATAGACATCATCTTTTTAGCCGTTAAAAATAGCTCCTTGATTCGTGGCATACCATAATTCGACAGCAAATACCAACGTACTATTAATATCCAAATCCAAAAGAAATTATCCACAGTTAAATATGTCGGTTCCATTTCACCATTTGGATTTTGCAAAGAAAGTCTGTTCGTCTTTAGTAAATCGGCGAATACGCTTTGGAGCAAAGCTTTTTGTAATCCCGTTGCGTGAACCAAATGAATTAAATAGGCTCCATGAATGGTGAATTAAATTGCAACTTAAACCCCCACAATGCCGTGGGGTATAAAAACAACTCATCGGGGGTATGAAATATCTTCTGCGAAAAAAATTTTGAACTTGATTCAATATTGTTCACGATGCACTTGGAATAAAATAACAATAAGTAATATTAAAACTCGTACGCATTTCCAAAAAGTGGGATGTGTTAGTCGAAATTATATCGATTCCCTTTTCATGGATATGGGAACTTAATCGCTGGGCATCTCCAGAATCAATAAGAACTTTTATGTTTGATCGCCTCAAATCATTGAATGTTTGAATTTGTGAATGAAATGGCGGAGGGGTGAACAAACTATTTATTCTCGCCAAAAATTGTGTACATACATTGAGGCCAATGAATCCAATAAAAAATAAACAACACGAAGGCTTAATAATTTTGTTGGACGCATTTGAAATGATTGACCTAATATGTCGGGAAATACATTTGTGTTAAAGAACAAATTCAAATGGTGCCAAAATCCATCCACATAGTAATCAACAATGCAATGGATTAATGATAGTAGCAAATAAGAGGTCAGTATATAAACTAAGAAATGTAGATCTAATAGTATGGTAAATATTTCACGCAAACTTATTGGTTTGGAGAGTGGAACCATTGTCATGATTTGATCAATTTCGTATGAATCTGACATTGTTGATGAAAACATCATCAATCCACAACAATCATCACCACCCACAAATGGCAACAACATAATCATCATCATCACCACCCAACAACACAATCACACACCATAAAACTACATAAAATGCCTACCAACTCATCAAAATTATATCAATAATTATTATTATTTTCATATTTAATGATATAATTATTTATTATATGTTTTAAATTTCATTATTTAAAATTTCCTATACTTTTCTTTTTATTCTTTATAATTATATTCTTTTAATTTAAACTTATTTTATTTCAATTTATTTACATTACTTTTCTTTATTTTATCAAAGTATATTTTTCATTCAATTTAATTAGTTATTTACATATTTTTTATATTTAATTATAAAAACATTAATGTACGTATACTAATTAGCCTGAGTGTAGCCAAAAAATACCTTCTGTTTGGTGACCACTCATTTGCCTATTCCCTTTTCTTCCATTCGACAACAATAACAACACATCGATCACTGATCAGTTGTTTTGTTATGATGGTCGCTATGATGCTTGCTTGTGCGTCGCGACCCCCTCATCCACATGCTTTGTTATGCCTATTGCTGAAAATAAATGGGAATGCAGAATAGAAGTAGGCAAATGAGATGGTACACAACCAACTACACATGCATGCATACATATTTATATGTGACCGATGCATGCCTAAGCCTTTCTTGTTACAAAATAAATATGTAAAAGAAATGGAATAAGCATGATTGGCTTAGGTAGTCATTGACACCATGCAAAAGAAGATAAATGTATATAAATGCAAAACAGCTGTTGCATATTATGTACGTTTTTCGTTTGGTGATTTTTGGCTACCAAACAAAATAGTTTAAGTTGACTCGCTCTCTTTTAATTGGACAGCCGAGCGATCAACAGCTAAGTACTTTTGCTAAACCCTTTCTGTAACCTTTTGAAAAATATTTTTCTTGAAAATAAAATAAATCAATTCTGTGCAACCCTTGTTTAGTTGAAAGAAAATTACTTTGTTTTCTTTTTTACTTTGCATAATTAAACAAGGGAAAATAACTCAACATTTTATTGGTGCCGAAACCCGGGAATTCTCATCGGTTTAAATATTCGTTGTGCTTTTCTGAAAAATTAAGTGATTTTAAGTGAAAATTCCAATAATTGAAAAAATAAAAAATATATATATTTTTTAATTCTTAATAAATTAAATTTTTTTAGACTGTTGTTGTGTTTGTTTGAAAGTGTGTATACTAATTAAACACTTTATTAAAAAAATAAATCCTAAATAAAGAACAACAAAAAGTGCGAAAATTTAAAAAAAAAGTGCAAGTGCAAACGTTTATAATTTAATGCAGCAAATTTTCGCCATTTTCAATTTAAATATTTCAATTTAAATATTTCAGCCGAAGAATAAAGCAATTTTTATTTGTTTTTGTTCTTTTAAATTCAAACACAACAACAAATTGTCATAAATTAAATATATATTTATTTCTTTTAATTAAATTTTACTAAAATTTTCTTGCGATTGCTAAACTTCTTTCGTGGATAAAAATAAATAAATAAAATAAAAAAAAAATATCTTCAATTATTGGAAATTTTCGACACAATTTGTGCAGTGAAAGTGAGCTAAACCTAAAAAGTGTTTTTGGTGTCAAAAGTGTTTGCGAGTGTATTCAAACTATAACCATGAGTGATCTTTCCAATTTAATTAAAGAACAGAGGGATTTATTCGATTTATTATCGAAATATCAAGCCCGTTTCGAGGCAAAAGATCCCTCTGAAAAGACTCATGGTTATGGAAATGCATTAACTCAAAGAGTTGATGACATTTTTAATCGGTTTGAATCGCAACACGATACGATTATGCAACTTGTACGAGACTCTTCCTTGAATGCCAGTGATGTGCCATACTTGAATGATGATGTGTATTTTGATTTTTCCGAAAAATATCTAATCTTCAAAGGAAAAATCATAGACTCATTATCAGACTACTCTATTTCGCAATCACCAATGGCAAGCACATTTGTTGCAAATCATAATCGTAGTGACACATTAGCTTCAGATTCTAAACTTCCTAAAATTTCACTGCCAAAATTCTCTGGTGATTATATGGAATGGATTCCATTCCGTGATATATATTTCTCTCTTGTACACTTAAATAATTCTTTGAATAAAATTCAAAAATTTTACTACCTTCGCAGTACATTGGTTGGTGAAGCAGCCAATTTAATCAAAAATATTTCTGCCACTGAGGCGAATTATGACTCTGCATGGAAGATTTTGGAATCAAGATATCATAACAAGCGAATGCTTGTGGGTAACTTGATTTCCAAACTTTTCAATATTCCAAAATCTGATGGTGGGTTTCAATCTGTCAAAACTTTACTAGATTCTGCTCGAGAGTGTATTGCATCCTTACAAAACTTGGATGTTAATACCGACACTTGGGACCCACTGTTAATTCATTTGATTGTTCAAAAACTTGATATTCAATCTCGTCGAGATTGGGAACAATCTCTTAAATCTTCTACTGAATTACCTCAACTTTCTGAATTATTTTCGTTCTTAGAAAGAACTTTTAGGACTCTTGAGTCCTTAACTGATGAATTCCCATCAACTTCAAAATCTTTTCCCAAACAAAACTTCACTAAAATTAGCAAAAGTTACAATAATTCTTCTCCTAAAACCAAGAAAACTTTCACTCATACTGGAAAGTTTTCAAAATCAAACTCAGCTGTTTGTGCATTTTGTGAGAAGAATCATTCTCTCTCAAAGTGTTTTAAATTTCTCGCCTTAACATTGATCGCTAAAAATAAATTTCTTGCAGATAAAAACATCTGTCGCAATTGTTTTGTAATCGGTCACGATGTAAACAATTGCAAATCTTTCTTTCGATGCATAACATGCAAACAACCTCATCATACAGTGCTTCATTCAGATGAACCTGTGACTTTAACTAAAAATCTAAATCTGTCCAATCAAGTCACTTCTCATAGTGCACAATCTTTTAATTCTGTTCTACTTTACACAATTAGACTTTGCATTATCACAAAACGTGGTAAATTCACTATACGTGCTCTGCTAGACCCTGGATCTCAGGGAAGTCTAATTTCAGAATCAACAGTTCAACTTTTAGGTCTTGAAAAAACCAGATCACATTGTAAAGTGATTGGTATAGGAAATGGTGGTGAAAATTTATCTAAATTTTCGGTGAATCTTGACTTGTTCACACGAAAACAAGAGTTAGTACTTTCATGTACAGCTCTTGTACTTTCTTCTCTCTCTTCTTATACACCAAATCCTTCATCTAAACATATTTCTTTGCCTAATATTGAATTTGAAAACTTAGCTGACCCTTATTACTACAAATCTGACCCAATAGACTTAATTCTAGGGTCAGATATCTGTTCTAAAATCAAAATTCCTACAGAGTCATTCATTCATAATGATCTTTTCTTCCAAAATACAACTTTTGGATGG